GTACAGCAGCGGGAGAAAACAAACCCCTTAATACCTGAATTTATATTAGCCTGGTTCTACCAGACTCTCGTACATACATTTCATTTGTACAGAGAGTCTGGCCTCCCTCAATTGAGAAACGTTTCCTTCCTTGTAGGCGGGTTCACTATTAAAGTTCAAATCTATTGGATCTGCCCAGAGTCACTCACGATCTGCCATAGCCAATCGCTAATGTGTGGTCGTGAGTGACGTATGTCATGCGCCGAAACGGCTGGAAACAACCATAGACAGTAAAAGAAACAACAAGTCCGAACTCCGAATGATCAGAGGATTAAATTTACAATAGGATTTCAGTCAACGAGAGCTGCAGGTTTTGTTAATCTAGGAACAATTATTAATTCGAAATGTATATATGGTCTTCAAAGTATGTGTTTTTATATGGCATTTAGTTTTTTTTTTTTATTAAAACAAATTAACCATTGACATCTAAAACTGAAAATCAAATATAGTCTCCAAAGTATGGGTTTTCAAATTTTTATTTATGACAATTTTTTTTTTTAAATCACAACCAATTTGTATGATTTACAACATGTAAAACTGACACACCAACCTCCTGTACGAGTGCACAAAGGGGCTCAAATGTTCATCACAAGAATCAGTAAATTTACTGTTGGGAATCTGAGCGACTGACATGACTCCTGAGCGGATCTTCAACAATAGTTTAGCAGCCAGGACTCGGGGCTTCCGAACACCGCGAACACCAGGCTAAAGTCCAAAATGTCACGGTCATTGTGCACGAGCTGCCCAGCACAAACTTCCAACCTTTCTGCCTCCTTCACTTGGTCCTCCGTTGTGCAACAAGAGGTGAGACGACAACAATCCGGCTTTAAATTCTGTATATTCGGCAGTTTCTTTTCCAACAACGGACCGAATAGCTTTTCTCACGTCTTTCTCCGCTGCCATTACTGCACTCAAACTGACGCGCTTACATCAACGTCATCGTTCTCAGCCACTCCCTCTATTCGCTGATTGGTCCTACAAAAAATTGATTTCTGGAAACCTAAGGATATGGAGCGGTCCCAGACGCAGTACTGAAGGAAAATGAAATTGAGCGGAAGTGCGTAGGCGGGCGCAGCCAGGCTAAATTTATATAGCTGTATATAAAAAAAATGTTTATGTGTGTTTTTGCCTTTAAGTAGATGGTAAATAACGTTGAGATTATCAATTTCACTTTTGCACAACAAATAAATCGAAATTTTAGTATGTTGCAAATCTGCAACAGCGGGCATAATGGTCAATTTGGTATGTTGCAAATGTTCCTGACCGGAGTAATCCTCGTGCGTAAACAGGAAATAAGTCCGTCACTTTGCGGTCCCACTAGAAACAAGTGCTTGTCGAAGGTCCTAGGTCCGTAGCGAATATAACCGGCATTGGGGGAATGCAGACGGTTGACTGAGTCAAACGGTTTGTAGCATATTTGTGACAGTGGGCGTTAAGGGGCTAAATATAAACTTGCTTTTTTATTACAACACTGTGGTATACTAAACAAATTGTCTCTGTCTTTAATGCCTGGTTCAGATTACACGATTTTAGCCCGATTTTGGCACGATCCGTTTGACGTAGGGTGTCGTGGGGATTCGTAAACGACAACGGGCGCCGACAACGGACGCAAGATTCGATCGTATCATCTCGTATAGTGTGTCATAGTTGGCGACAACCTACGTCGCGTCTGCGATGCTTCACGACATCACGACAAAAAGACTAGCATGTTTCATTTTTTTAACGGTCGTCCACGACGGTCCCGTCACATATGAGGTTGACCAATAGGAGCACAAGCTTTTACGTATACAACTTTTAAAAAAGACAAAACGAAAGAGAGACGATGGTGCTAACGTTAAAACTAGAAGTAAAAATGTATAAGAAAACGATATTTTACCTCAAGTTCTCTTTGGAGGATTGACAGCCCATACTGTCCTCTTCGAACAGTGTATTTCGCACGCTAAAAAGGCAATGCCGAGCAATCCAGGAACTCACTCGCTACGAGTTACGCCTTCTCGATGACATCACGCGCGCCGTTAAACACGCCACGCGATGACTGGTCAGGAAGTAACGTGTAGTCTGATGCATCTCGTCCACGACACGACAAGATTTTACGAGCCAAAAATCGCGTAATCTGACAAAGTGACTATCGTAACAGACAAAAAAAAATAGTGTAATCTGAACCAGGTGTAATGAATTAAATTATAACTAATACTATTATTATTTCTTAAGGATAAAAAAAAATCTATATAGGGAGCCCTTACTTGCACATTACTATAATATTAAAGGTTAACAAGAGAGCCCAAACTATTAGCCTAAATTCAATTGCTATTTATTTTGATTTAATAATCAAGACTCTAATAACCAATGGTATGCAAACATGGAAACTACACATAAGGCAGTTTCGCATGAACCTCTAAATCGAATTATAAAATAGTTGAAATATTATTCAACATATATTACAGTATTAAAACATTACGGCATTTTTTGTTTAAATTTTAAGAAATTTTTCAAAATTTGAAAGACGACAATGTTTCTTGTCGAAAGTAACAAAAAGCAGAGCTTATCGCAGTCTTATTCGTCTACACAAGACAAAAATTTCACGGGACAAATGCGTGTACAGTCACATCTCTACAGTAATTACGATTTAATCAAATGTCAAGGAAGAAAAATGTGGTTTGTCAACCTCAACAATGGGTCAATGGAAAGTGTCTGGTGTATCATGGTTTTTCGGTTTGGTTTAAATATTGTTACACCCGTAATATACATTATATATTACAGATTGACCTGTCCATTTAATCACTCTATTCTTAAAATAAAAAAGCACATGCTTTTGAGTTAAAATTAATGTCTAAAACTGGTTGAAACGTATAACAACTAAACGGCATTTGTATAATATAAGTTCCGAAATTTCCGAAAAACTACCATATTTACTATACTTTACTATTTAACTGTGGTAAAACCCATGGAAATGTTTGATAAGAAATGTATTAAAGTAGGTAAATCAGTTATTTGATTTGAATCAGTAGGATATGAAGCAAAATGGGAAACTTACTAGGAACTAACAAGAGATGCACTGACAGGAAAAATTAGCTAAATTATCCATCAAACTGTCCATTTAGTAAATCAGTGTCTTGATCATTATTCACTAATGTTTGTTACAGGCTTAGAAAAGGGTCTAGGAAAAAAAAAGCAAAGGCAATTACAACTTCCTCAAGCAAAACGCTCCTTTACTGCCTTTCTAAAGCCAGAAATAGACTGTGAATGTTAGTGCTAACGTAGATCAGGACAGGGCCAGCAGGGCCTTACAGACTTGGTGACCCAAAGAAAGCAGCACCTGGTATTCGTCAGTTGTCATAAACACTGAAGTTTCTTTCCTTCCCTCTTTTTTTAAAGAGCGAGTTTAAAGGAAAACTCTTAGCTATTCATGGTGTCCTTTCCCCATTCTCCTCGGGTATCATAAAACCATAAATCTCATCTCAGCACTCGCCTTCTAGCCAATAAACCAGCCCCCGTTTTATGAGCTGCTCTCTTGCTGAAGGTAAATGAGCCTTGCCACTGGTGACACCGCCGAAGCTTGAAACATTCTAACATAGATCTACAAGAACTACTTCATTTTTCCAGTCCAGGAAAAGTGACGAATGAAATCAAGAAGAAATTCACGGCCTAGGAAATTGCCAGTTGAGCAGCACAATTTTGAAACCTCGTGTATGGCAGCGATTTAATCTGAAACATACAATCCTCAAAACGATGAGATTAAATTGATACTACATCAGCAACCTAAACAAGCAGCTTTTGAACAACTACCAGATTTCCTTTCCTGAAAAGCCGAGAGGTCTAGCAAAGGACGGCACCCAAACCAGACAAATGGTCCCTCAGCACCAAGTTTATTAGGTCCCCTCTTGCACCAGACCACCATTATCTCAACCCTCTAAGAGCTTGTCTCAAACCTCTTTGTTTGATGTTTACAGAGAACCCCAAATCCCAGAAAAAGTCTCCGCTAATAGTCAACTACATTGTTCGAACACTAAAGCTCATACCAAAGACTAACTTTGAGACCGATTGTACTTTCCGCATCAAATTGGTCCCATAGATTTCAGTACTTGTACAATAAAATGGCCATATGCCTTGAACTAGAACACAACATCATAATTATTTTCAATAAATAGCCGATATTACTCATGTTAATAGTACCAATATATTGTGCAAACTGTATTTCCATAAAGGTCACTATTAAAGGAGTAGTTCACTTAAAAAAAAAAATTGCTAACAATTTACTCACCCCCATGTCATCCAAGATGTCCATGTCTTTTTTCTTCAGTCAAAGAGAAATTAAGATTTTTGATAAAAACATTCCAGGATTTTCTCCATATAATGGACTTCAATGGGAACTAAACGGTTCAAGGTCCAAATGAGAGTTTCAATGCAGCTTCAAAGGGCTTTAAACGATTCCAGACGATGAATAAGGGTCTTATCTAGCAAAACGACCGGTCATTTTAAAAATAAATGACAAAGTTTAAGTTTTATAAGCTCAAATGCTCGCCTTGCTCTGTTCTGTGATGAGCGTTCATGACTCTCCTGTTCAAACTCGTTCATCAAAATGAACAAATCTTTTTTCGAGTCATGACTTGAAGGTCCTAGAAAAAACCCTTATTCATCGTCTGGTGTCGTTTAAAGCCCTTTGAAGCTGCACTGAAACTCTCATTTGGACCTTGAACCGTTTGGTTCCCATTGAAGTCCATAATATGGAGAAAAATCCTGGAATGTTTTCATCAAAAACCTTAATTTCTTTTCGACTGAAGAAAGAAAGATGTGGACATCTTGGATGACATGAGGGTGAGTAAATTATCAGCAAAAGTTCTTTTTAAAAGTGAACTACTCCTTTAACCTCACCAAATGTTTGTAGATATCAACTAGGTAAAAAATAAGGGACTAATTTTCATATTGTTGTGTTCAAGTGTTATGATTGGAAATTCACTTACGTCTGATCTCGTGAACATGTTGTTGTCCATGTCCGAGTCATGCGGGTCCAACACATCCTGGAAGGGCGGTAACGCTGGTGGTTTTCTCTTCTCAGAAAGTTCACTGTTTTGTAACCTACTATGCCGGATTTGCGGCTTGTCTTTCAAAACTTTTTTATCCGAATGAGGGTGCTGTAGCAAAGTGGGACACGCTTGCTGCTTTTGCGAGCTCTCCGAAAAACTGCTTTTCTGTTTTTTGGTAACATGGCCTTCAGTGTCCAAAACAGGCCGCCGTTTACTTTGTCCCAAGCTTGAGAAGCTAATCTCAGATGACCGCGGCTCCTTCGACGTGGTCTTGGGCTCCTTAAATCCCATTTGGGGAACCGTGCGATCTTCCTGAATTGGTTGATTCTCTTTGGGTTTTTTGGAATCTTTAGAGAGTTTTCCAGAGTCCTTGCTGAAATCTCTGAAGGCACTTTTGGACTCCTTTGAGTCTTTGGAAGGCTTGTCCTTATGGTCCTTAGACGGTTTGTGGAGCTTGAGGGAGCTGCTGCTAATATTGTTTGTTGTTGTAAGAGCACTGGTGCTTTTGGACCCGTCCTATAACGAGAATATGACAATATTAGGAAAGATAGAGCCAATTACTTTAAAGTTTAAGATTAATTAATTAGTTAGGCATCGTATCCAAAGAGATAACCATTAAAGCAGCACTATGTAGAACTTCCGTTTTTGTCAAACTGTGACCCCTAGAGTCGATGTGGAGTACTTGTACTGTCGTAAATAGCAAAGTTGGGGAGACGCCCAACATTCAACCCGAAAATAGTCATATAACCATTGCAATAACTCTGAAGCTATTCAGTTAAGGTAAAAAAACTGCATAGTGCTGCTTTAAAAAATGGTGATAACATTGTACAGTGATGGTCTAATAGTAGGCCTATTTTAATATACACTATGGTTCAAAAGTTTGAAGTCAGAACGATTTTTACGACATCTATTCAGCTGAACTTTCTTGAATTGAAAATGATTCTGTTTGCATCATTGAATCATTATTTACTTGTATATCCCTATAAAGTGGCTTTGAAAACATATGTATTGTATAAAGCACTGTATGCTGTAAATTAAGGTGACTTGACTTTCTATTTATTAACAAATCCTGAAAAAAGCACAATCGTTTTCAACATGACAATAAGCAGCAATGTAGTAAGGCTGCAAAAAAAATCCAGCTTTGCATCACAGGAATACATTACATTTTAAAATACAATTTAAATCAAAAACCGATATTTTAAATTGTAACAATATTCCCCAGTATTACTGCTTTTACTGTATTTTTGTCAAATAAATGCAGCCTTGCTGAGCATAAGAGACTTCTTTCAAAAACATTAAAATGTCAAACTAACCACAAACTTTGAACAGTAGTGTATATCATAATTCTTTAATAATGTGCCATGGTATTTACATGGTAAAAAAAACAATGTACTTTTGTTAGTGAAATGAAAAACAATACATTAACAACTGCTATAGATATTCAAATACTGAACTTTCCAACCATTAAAAAGCGACAAATTATGTGTGTGCTCAAGCAAACAATCAAACCCATATGTGATGTGAAACATTTCCATAAACAATTGTTCAGCATGATCCGGAAAATAATACCACTGGGGGAAGGGCAAACTCAGAGCTATCTGGGACGCAACCTGGGGACGAAACAACAAGCCTTTCGTTGACTTTAAAGACAGGGTTATCCTATCTTCAAGATAACTAGCTCCTGTCAATAAGTCATTGATGCAGTTAAGTCGTTAAGCGGTCTAGACAGAAAGGGAGTTCAAACCTGCCTAGACATCTTGTATTTTGTTATATCTGCTACAGCTTTTACGAGAAATGGACAAAACCTTTTCCTCCCATTTGTTGCAAACACATTGAAACTGGCTTCTAAAAGACAGCAATGTTCAGGTCAAAAGTTTAATCAGTTATAATGGACATGATACAGTACATTTTGGCAGCAAACAAGGAGATAGAAACCTCTATTCTCTATGTTTAAAATCTGAATCATGATTATGAAAATAACTATGGTCATTATTCTTAGTGCTATTAGAGCTTAGTGCCAAAACGCTTGCAATATTTCTTCAAGAAAACTCATCATGGTTGACTTTTCAGGTAACCATTATGGTTGGCAATCAATCAACCTTCAAAAAAAATCTTCAAGCATAACATCCAATTAAGTGGAGGAAGTGGAGAAGGACAACAAAGCGCAGATTGCCGTTTTTGTTTTTGCTAAAGTGACCGGTGTAGTAGTGCAGAGGAGGTTGGCTGCGAACGACCCCTGATCTGTCAGTAATCCATCACACGCAACGGCCTGTTTGGATTGGGAACTGTTTCCATGTGCTCCGGGGACTCTTGTAACTTCACTGTAAGAGCTGGCGTACAATACAAGACGCTTAGCGGCTAAGTGATATTGCACAGGAGACTAAAAATAAACCTAAATCAAACAAACATGGCGGTATAGTCGAGCAAGATTTACTAGCATTACGTCTAATGTGGTTTAATAGATGCGAAGGCTGCAGCACCTACAGTTTTACATTAGTTTTCCTTCATTAAAGGGGTCATATAATGCCATTTTTGTACAAGTTAATATAAATGTTTAGGGTCTAAATGAAAACGTTGTAATATAGTTTTATTAAAAATTCTCATTCGTATTTACAAAACTAATTTTACCTGGTCAAAATCAGCTCTGTTTTCAGCACACCGTTTCAGTGCATATGCCTTTAAATAATAAACCCCGCCCCTGTGTTTTGCCGCGTCAGAGAACGTCTAATTGAAGAGAATTGGCACTGGCTGGTTACTTCCGGGTTCTGGACTGGCTGCAGTAACGCGTCTCTGTCAATGCGGGGGCGCTTGCGGTCGAGTGCAGAATGAATGGGAGTCAATGGGGTTTCACCCCCAGAAATCCACTTTGCTCAGGATGTAATTTTTTGTCAAGTAATTTGAAAGTTGCATTCAAAAGGGAGGGCTAAAAAAATACACTCAGCTGAAAATTGCATTTTTAAGTTCACTTATCTGTTCAAAAATGTGATGACGTCACACAATAGCAATATGCTAGCATGTTCCAGCCAACAACAGCCTAACCTGTAAGAAATCAAAAGGACATACTCGTTCATTCAACTTTTTGGCCTATAATCTATATCGAACTTGCGGAATCAACAATAAAATCTATTTTGATTTAACGACAAGCAGGTGAAAGACACATTTAGCCGTTTAGCCCCATAGACTCCCATTCATTATGCACTCGCCCGCGATCACCTCCAGTGGAATTCTAATGGAACTGCAACCAAGGTGATGCACAACAGGGCTAATAGGAAGTGCCAAGGCTCTCCGTTAGACAGGCTCTGGCCGCGTTTAGACACAGCGCACGTGGAGTGTTGCCTTGACAACAGTCGAAGAGATATTTTGGAGAGAGAATGGCAACGGGAGTTTCTGAAGACACATCAGTGCAATCGTATCAGTTTGAGCTGGAGTCGGACCCGGAACATAAAATAAAGCATTACCTAAGACAGTTTTTCGCACATGCGGAACGCTATTGTAACGGGACACCTTGCAAGTTCGTTTACGTCATCGGAATGTCAGCATGTGCTTTCTCAGCAGCCAAGAAATGCTCGACTTAAGCCAAGTTTCACATCTCTAAAATCCTTGGATTTAAATTGCCCCTAACGTCTTTCAACTTGCCAAATATGCAGGATTAGGCAGGAATCCTTGGAGAAACTGGGAGTCATGCGAAGTGTTCTCAAGAGTTCAGACGCTCAAACTTGGAGATCCACACTCACCTTTGACCCTGGGAAAGACTTGCTCTTTTTCGCATCAGAGAAGGTCAATGTTAATGAGCTGCTGGGTAATGTGGGCAGCTTTAGATGCTGCCCGAACAGAGAAGTGGAGCCCTCCTGCATTACCATTACCTAAGAGATGAAAGACAATGAAAGAAATACATACTTTTATTCAGCAAGGATGAATCAGTAGTGATCAAAGCTGACAGTAAAAGATTGCTATTTCAATAGATCTCTACAAAAGATTTATAATGCTGTTCTTTTGAGCTTTCTATTCAACAAAGAATTCGGAAAAATAATGCATCACGGTTTCCACTAAAAAGATTAAGGCGCACAAATGTTTTCAACATTGATAAGCATAATAGAACGATTTCTGAAGGGTCATGAGACACCGAAGACTGGAGGAATGATGTTGAAAAAAGAAAGTAGTTATTGTAGTGATATTTACAAATGGAATTGTAATACTTTCGAATGTTAGTGTATGCTACAATCAGTTATTTGTGTTATACGGACACTGTTTCATTGAACATTCACTATATATCTGTTTTCATATCCTTGCAACATTGGGCAAGATAGGGGAAAACATTTTTACAAAATAAATACAAAAAAGCTTTTTTATCCAAATGGAGAAAAAAAATAAAAATAAAAAAAATCAAGATATATATTATATATTGCCATTTAGCCAAAAAGAGAGAGAGAGATGTTATTTTAAACGCATTGAAACGTTTAAAAAATGGAGTTTGTCCTTACTTTAGAGTCCTCTGAAGATCTTTTGTGAGGATCCCGTTGCTGTAAAGGACAAAGTACAGATATCACAGTCTGAAAAAATGGACTATGAATCAACACACACCACCAAAGGCAAACAAACACTCTCTAACGCACATTTTGGCAAGAAGCACTCTGTTTACTCCAAGCCTGATGTAATGACGAAATGCCTTTCAACAGCCAAAACAATCAGGTAAATTGGAAAGGACCTTTCTCAGTCACCACCTTGCTAAATTGATATTGCTCTCTTAATTAAAACAACTTCCCGCGCAACTGCCTTTTGCCAATAAACACTTTCGATTCCTGCCGTGCTTCATCTGCAACCCAGACAAGCACCAGAGATGTTGTCATACCCCCAAGTCGTAAAACCATTGAATTACTGGAATGAGTCAAGAGGAGGCGAACTAAAACTACAAAGAGGGCCCTCTCTCTTTAAGGGTAAAAGCGTCCCAGTTCATGGCTAATCCACACTAATGTGCTTTCGAATGCTGGTGGAACTTCAAAATGTGTCCAAGATCAACAAAACGAATCAATATAAGCCAGTTGATTCATAAAATGCATGTGGATCCCTCTGGAAGGGGCCCAAAGATAGCTCAAGTTTCCTGTAGTGATAGATGGTCGTGTCACGACTAGCCCAATCAAATCTTGTAAAGTTACTTATTGTCTTGGTTGATGGGAACAGTAATTCCATTAGGACTGATTGCCTGACATGGGCCTTCTCTGAAAGATGGTTTTGCTAGCGCTAGCACAGACAAGCAGCAAGGTATATCCTTGTATTTTTCACCTGTGAACAGAGTGCACGTATTTTAAAACCACATGGGGCTAACTAGTCAATCCCTCTGAAATGAACACCAATGAACACCAGTACTCAAACTCTGGAATAGACTTTCTAGCCTTGTTCGGGAAGCAGACACACTCAGTCAGTTTAAATCTAGACTAAAAACACAACTGGCATACACATAACACATTAGCCGCGTTTCCACCGCAGGAACTTTCCCCAGGAACTAGGAGCTTTGGGGTGGTACTCGGTGTGTTTACACCGCAGGAACGAGGGTCTAAATGAAGTTCCGGGTAAAAATTTCCCCCCAGAAAGTCCCTGCTGGCGAGGTAGTACTTTTTCAGAGTTCGGGAACTTTCGGGGTGGGACTTGTGCGCTGAACATGCTGATTGGCTGATTAGCGCGCGTTCGTCCCATACATCGCACGGTCAATGTCCACTATAGCTGCTTACAAACGTCTACTTTTATATCTAGCATTACGAGCTTTCTGAATACGTTTTGGGTGCTCGTCTCTTTTCTGCCGTTTTGTTAATTACCTCATTACTAATCCAATCGCACACAAAAGCAGCACAGCTTGAATCTCCTCCATATAAAACTCAAAACGCACTCAAAACAAACGCACAGACTGGGAAGAGCAGTCGCACACAGTTCAACGTCACTACATAATCTTCCCGCCCCGGACCGATAGTTTAGTCCGTGGTGTAAACGCAGTAAGCAAGCGCTTCCTTTTACAGTACAGTACTTACAGTCTACTTACCTAGAAAGTACTGGCTAAGGCCCCGTCCACACTATTGCGTTTTCGTTAAAAACTGAGAATTAAAACGAATACGGACGGATCTCCGCCCACACCAGCGTTTTATCTGTGTATTAGAAATGATCTCCGTCCACATTAAAACGACTGAAAACGCGGATCACGTGACCATTCATCAACACTGGGAATGCGCGTGCCGGTGTAAACAGTGATTGACGAATCAGGGAAGGATACGTCATGACTAAAAACACCCAATCATGGAGCCAAGCGTGGGCCTCTGCGTCAGCGTTTCTGAAGTCCTACGTTTTGTCTCGTCCACACTAAAACGCCCTCTGGAGATTCAAAACGCAAAACGGAGCTGCAGCGTTTCTAAACTTCTCCGTTTTAGGTCTTCGTTTTTCCCGTTTTAGTGTGGACGGGAGGTGCAAACGTAGCAAAAGGTCTCAGTTTTTAAACGAAAACGCAGTAGTGTGGGCGGGGCCTAATATAAGGTAAGTACATGGAACAGGGGTAGGTTTAGGGGTATGTTCAGGGTTAGTACTAGTTATTACCCAGTAATTGTAGTTACTAATATAAGTACATAGTATTTACATGGGTAACTGGACTGTAAAAGGAAGCGTTACCAAAAGTTCCTGGTAATTGCGGCGGAAACGCGGCTATCATCAATTTCTATTATTCAAATCATTTAAATGATTGTTAGGCTGCATAAATTAGATCAACCAGAACCGGGAACAATTGTTATGACAGTCTGGTTTCTCCGAAAGTTTTTTGTTCTCTACTCCTTCCCCTGATGAAGTCTGGGTTCCTTGCCACTGTTGCCTCTGGCTTGCTTAGTAGGGGACACTTAATATTCAACAACAATATTATTGATCTGACTGCACTGGAGCTGCTGTATGAGAACTGAACTAAGCTGGGTGACGACTTCATTTTTTGCAGAACTGCTTCATAGATGAAATGACCCAATTTAAAGGAGCTGTAAGTAAGAAATGTATTTCAAACAATCATAAAATGGCCCTGATATTTCACTAGATATTAAGAAACAATGTTCATTTCAAATTTATAAATCACTGACAACAGTAGTCCGGCCAGGATATTGTGATTTAAAGAGTGAAGTCACAGCCCTCAACTGATGTTGATGTTGTCATGTTGTGTTTTGGCACCGCTCTACAGTAATTTGAAAGTGATTGCAGTACCAGTTTTGGCCACAATCTTACATATGGCTCCTTTAACTCTTTCCCCGCCAGCGTTTTAAAAAAAAGTTGCCAGCCACCGCCAGGGTTTTTGACGATTTTCGCTAAATTTGAATGCCCCCGCTGAATATTTTCTTCCATGAATATATGAAGATGATGTATATAAAAATAAAGATCTGAACCTCTGCTTTTAGGAAAAAAAAACGTTTTTATTTTATCTTCATCTGTTCTTTTTTTATTGCCTCTTGAACAGAGGTAGGTTTTGTCAAAAACACAACATTTTGGACAAAAAACTGAGAAAAAGGTGTTTTTATCAAACAAGTGCATTTAAAAGCAGAATACATTCAGATGTTGTTTCCTTCATATATAAAACTTTCCAAAATAAATTAAAAACATAAAATAAATCTAAAATATATCAAATTTCCCAGGATGTAAGGGAAATGTAACTTTTGCAATAAAACTTCTGCCTCTGCCTCTCTGTGTTCTACCTGTGAATAATGAATAATTGGAATTACAATAAACAGGCCTAGACACACACACACACACACACACACACAAATACATATTACAATGTGGTAAATGTGCACAAAGAGAGAAATAATTTGACAATTACACCTTCATATTTAGACAGCCACACATAAATGCCTGCACACACACATACATAATATAGTGTCATAATATTATACGATCTATCTGCGGCACGTCCATGGCTAGCATGAACATGTGCATCTCTCTCACTGACTACTTCGTCCCGATCAGATTCAGAATTATCAAATAAAGAGTGATCGGACTCAGAGTCCATTAACCTCCAGTACTTCAGCCATATACCTCTGCATTGTCTGTCTGATACATTCTCACTACTCCACTGTTTGAGACGATTGCAATCTGTTTCTCTAAACAAAGAGTTGCGCAATCATTCAGGACATGCGCGCAGGTCTTCCTTACCGTATACCACCTAAAACACGGATACCCGGAAAATTCCGTGTTTGGCGCAGATGCGTTTTTTCATTAAACACGGAAAATTCCGTGTTTGGCGGGGAAAGAGTTAATAATCGATGATCTTTACAATAGAACGGAATCAACACAGCTGAACAAAAGCCAAAACGCATTATTTTCCTGTTTATCACTGTAAAACTGCTTTGAAACAATCTCTATTGTATAAAGCGCTGTATAAATAAAGGTGACTAGACCTTTTGAGATTTAAAAGAGATTCCAACTAATGAATTCAAAGTAATTGCGAACGGTTACAAATTACAAATGTTTTCTCAACCATCTTTGAGACGTAACATTGAAATCATTGAAATCACATGACTCCAATAATATCTCTGCCCATCTTGCTCCCAGAGGTGAGTCACGTACCCCTCCGGCCTTGAGCAGCTTCCTGCGAAACTCTTCAGTAGGGTTGTTGAACGTGAGCTTTTCACACCGGAGATGATTGACAGGTGGGTGGCCCTCCAAGTGCAGGAACAAATCGTAGTCAAAGCGCACTTTTTTTGGTTCTTCCTGGTGAAAAGTGATTAAAACATTACCCAATGTACATAGTCACAATGCTGTCTGAATTGGATTAAATGTATGCAACAAATCAAATACGCTTGTTTATAATGGATAATAATTACAGGTTTGCTCAAAACACAGTACCTTATTTTTAAAGTAAACTTCAATAGGCAAGATAAATCCAGCGTATCCAGACTCTTCAACTTTATATGGTGGATCCTTGCACACTGCAAAAGAAAGGAAGAGACCGTTAGTTTCATTTTAGCATGAAAATCACCTATACTTTAAGTATCAATGGACAAATAGGTGTGGTGTATTATGAATATAACCATGGCGTTGGGTACAACACCATAAGTTGCAACCCCTTTAGTCGTAATATAGCTTGAGTGCATTATGCAAAAGTGGGTTTTACATAAAAATAAAATGTACACAAATTGTATTTCGACGGCAAGTTTTATTAAGCAAATACATTCAAAGAAAATAATAAAATTTACTTGAGGATCATAAAACCTAATTACACATTTTATTTGTTATGTTAACAGTTAGTTGCACATCACTGAAAACAACAAAGGCACTCATTACGTTTATTACAAAACGAAGCCGTTTAATGTTTCGGGCCATTTCGTGATGGCGCAGTGGATAAGACACATGCCTTTGGTGTGAGACACCACTGTGAGACACCAATGTGTCCCTGAGCAAGACACTTAAGCCCTAGTTGCTCCAGAGGCGTGCGACCTCTGACATATTGCAAGTCGCTTTGGATAAAAAGCGTCAGCTAAATGAATAAATGTAAATGTCATGAAAAGTGAGGTATATGCGTTAATTTGAAGTGGTGATTGGCTCCCGTGGCTGGATAGTACTTTCCATGTCATCAGTTTCTGAGCTATTCTCCACATTAATCATGAGAATAAACACTTCTAATCGAATCACTGTGCTGTATTACGCACGAGATCTCATTACAGCAGAGAATTCAAATGTGACAAGACCTCTGCCTGTTCAGCTTTGTGTTCGGACACGTGTCGCATGTTTTCCAAGTACAGTAAACCAAGTGTGTTTGCTTTTCCCCATGAGGCGGTCAGAGCAGTCAAATTTTTCATTTTCAACACATTAAATATTTGACTAATACTTAAGTACCAACATGAGAGCTGCTGCTGCGATGAGTTTAACACTCACAGCACAGATCACAGTTCATATCTAGACCGGAGCAAGCATGTTTCAAGTTATGGACATAGTGCTGAAAACATGAACCAGCACTGTGTATGTGCATATTTCATCCTTGTCTTCTTCAAATTAAATATATATATATATATAAAGTAGCAACATCTGGCTATCAAATTATTCTGATACACAATGATGTAGACCAGAAATTCAAAGTAAAAACTGATGATGTGATTTGTCCAGAGATTGAGATTGCTTGTAAAAGTAATGAATATATCATTAGACATTTTAAATGTTCTTCTTCATTTTTCATATAGACCAGTAGCTCTAATGTGGATTTGATGTGTTTATGATAGTAATTAGTATTCTCTAATGATGAGAATTTTGTGCGTTTGTTGTTAGTTATATTTTTTTATAACTGGTGCTCCCTTGTTTTTTTTCTGCTAATTCTTTAATATTCTTTGTCTGGTTGAGTGTGCTGTAGTAGGTCTGTGTTTTATTAGTTGTTCCACCCTAAACACTCCCACTTTTCCACAGCTTTAAATGCACATTTCTTGAGATAAATCTTGAGGTGTGAAAGCGATGGAAGGTTACAAACTCAAATCAAGCATTGTTATAATTTAAGCAACATTATATGAGTCAATTAGGCATGTGTTTCCTGCTAGTGAAATATGAGATTATATTCCTCAAGCCCTGGTGTGAATGAGCATCACTGGAGGAACAGTTTATATTATATTATATATGCGTATATTGTTTAGACACACAAAGTAAGTCTCTTGAGCTCATCAAGGCTGCATTTATTTGATCTAAAATACAGTAAAAACAGTAATAATGCTGCCATTTGAGCTGACATTAAGTCCAGTCTTCAATGTCACACGATCTATCAGAAATAAAAATATATAGCCCATACATAAATCAACATTAAACTAATTTTCCGTATACACAATGAACCCTTTGTGAACATTAAATGTCATTGCCAAGTAAAAATATATGGTGAAAAGTTGCAATACACGCCACATCGCCACCATGTCTCAGGGAGGCGTGCCAAAAAGGTTCATTGCCTCTCGAGGGAACTTATTAGTGTTTAGACGAGCAGTTTAAATGACCTGGAACGTGTGTGACATCTTCCCTGATTAACTGCATTATTTATATGTCTTTATGGCCAACTCCTTTGTGCAATGCGCTTCAATCTTGTTATATTTAAATGTTATGGCCTTCATCGAGAGACACTACTTCTGCTCCAAAGCACATTTAGTTTTGCTTACACAAATCATTCATCATCATCATCATCATTTCACCAAACCTCTATAGTGAATACATTTTCTGTCAACTCTTGTTTTACACACACACACTTGAAGGTACAAAAAAAAAAAAAAAAAACATCAGGCTTGGTCCCAATTAGACATTTCAGGATAAACACCCAGTTTAGGTCAGGTGACGTCCCATGGGAACACTTGTTTGTCTCGTTCCCCAAATCCCAAAAGAGCTACTTAACAGCATCGCCAATTAGTCAACATGAACTGTTGAGCGGTAATGGATACAAGCACACCTGCAGACAACGTGAAATAAAAAGAGGAACTAGTTCTTTCCTTGCGCCTCTTAATATAATGAACTGCACTCAAAATGATGTCAAATTAAGTCATTATTAAAATAAACTGCCTCACAAATCAGTTTTTGTTTGATAATTAACCCCAAACTCTCAAATGGTGCTGATTATGTTCTCAAAAAAAATGCAATTTTAGGCAGCAAAGATACGTTTTTACATACTGAAAAAAGATTTCAAAAATATGATTGGTACTACATGCAGATCCTGACTTAAAACGTAGCCTTGAGGTCTTTTCCGATGAACCGACACAGAACTCGTTCAAACAGGCGGTGGAAAAACTCAAGATGCTCTCGAAGGAGACTGACAAAGCTCAACATCAATCGGCATGCTTAGGTTGTAGTAGCAACTGAGCCCCTTCCCCCCTCAGGCTAGACCATGACTGACCTCGAGCCTAAGGTCGCCGGATCCCAAAACAGCATCCGTTAAACAAATATTACAGAGATTTATTGCCGTGTCGGGTCACGTTTAGTTATCGTACCTTGAAAGGGCCTGTTTAGTATGGCTTCTTTGTAAGATGCTTTCTCTCCTGTTTGTGGGATTTCTTAGCTATTCAAAACACTTTAACAAGCATAACTCTCCAAACTCAAGTGGTATATGCTCTTGCTGGAGGCTTCTGTTTTTTGTTTGTTGCAGTTACTCAGGCCCCGTCCACACTACTGCGTTTTCGTTTAAAAACGGAGACCTTTTGCTACGTTTGCACCTCCCGTCCACACTAAAACGGGAAAAACGAAGACCTAAAACGGACAAGTTTAGAAACGCTGCAGCTGCGTTTTGTGTTTTGAATCTCCGGAGGGCGTTTTAGTGTGGACGAGACAAAACGGAGGAGTTTACAAACGATGACGCAGAGGCTCACGCTCGGCTCTATGATTGGGTGTCATCAGTCATGACGTATCTTTCCCTGATTCGCCAACCACTGTTTACACCGGCGCGCGCATGCCCAGTGTTGGTGAATGGTCACGTGATCCACGTTTTCAGTCGTTTTAGTGTGGACGGAGATATATTCTAATACGCAGGTAAAACGCTAGTGTGGACGGAAATCGTTTTCGTTTTAATTCTCCGTTTTTAAACGAAAACGCAGTAGTGTGGACAGGGCCTCAGACAGGCACACTTACAGTATTTTGGAGATTTAGCATGTAATTCTTTCTTAGGACAAGTGTATAATTTTGTATTCATTTAGTGTCACCTCTGAAAGTCGATGTTGTGCTTTCCAAACACTGCCCCATTGTGTGGTAGGCCAAAACTTGGACACGAGTTTGTATTTTAGCACATCCGTGTCTGTAAAAAATATTTTCAAGATTTGTTATCACAACATATTTTCTTTTGTCAAATCAACTTTATAATAATTTATTTAGTTGAGATAACTTATTATTTTGAGTTTCTGATGGTTAAATTAATCTACTTCATTGTATTAACTCACTTTTTCCAGTTCAATCAACTTAAAACTAAGGCAACCCAGGTTACTTACTTTAAGTTAAACCAATAATATTTTTTTGCAGTGTAGTAATCACAACATTTTTTCTTTTGTCAAATCAACTTAAATAATTTATTTAGTTCAGATAACATATAATTTTGAGTTTCTGATGGTTAAATTAATCTCCTTCATTGTATTAACTCACTTTTTCCAGTTCAATGAACTTAAAATTAACCAGGTTACTTACTTTTTTAAGTTAAACCATCATTATTTTTTTTACAGTGTAAACTCAACAGGTTTTTTGAACGGGCTTTTTTATTAATCACTGTATAGTTAATTCTTATTAAACTGAAGAGCAGTGAAAGATTTTTTGTTGTTTGATTAACCTTAACGGACGACAGCAGGTTTATGGGTTTTTGTCGAAGGAACCAGTGTGATGCTGACTTCTGGGTTGGCCTACAAAAAACGTCAGTACAGCACTCTAAAAATCAACTTCTAGCTCAACCAATGGCGTGAGCTTGGAGTGCCGCTTGGCATTAAGGTGATTGGCTCAAAAAAATTTCTGGGGGGGAAAAAAAAAAGTTGGCTAGTCTTGCAAAACTGCATGTCATGGGCTAAAATATCACACACACGCCCTTACTCCGGCAATAAATCACACAGCGGAGCTAACTATGAACAAAATGTAAATTACCCAGGACCATTTTTATTATTTATTATGATTAGAAATAGGCTAAGCTGAAAATTTCCATTTGACATAAAAGGCCATGGAAAGTTGACATGACATGCATTGTGTTGTATTTCAAAATGAAGTAATTTTACTAATTTAATTATAATAGTTGTGCATGTAGTTTTAATGACAGAACTAAATATTTGTACATGAAAAAAACTTTAATATTAACAAGTTGGACTTCATTGTAAAGAATATAGTGCATTAGGTATCGGGAAATAACAATGAAGAATCACTTTACTTGATCACCAATATTTTAATTAGATAAGCAGTAACAGGCAAGACACATTTTACTTTATCATAACTTTAGTTTCATTATTTTATT